CCCCCCCTGTGAAAAGTTGATTCATTTTGTGCAGTGCAGCTTTTTAATTTATCATTATACAGAACCACCTTTGAATACAATCGAAAAATGGCACTAGAGAAAACAGGGGAAAGAAAAGATTTTGACACTCTGAAAGGTTACATCAAGTTTGTCTAAAAGCTCACTCGCTGTTTTTGATTAGCCATTGAAGGGTCATGTTTTCTCAAGATTTTTGAAGAGAAAAAAAAAATAGAATAGAAGGTTTTGGGGTGAGGGAGGGAGTTTATGTACAAGAAATTAAATATTCATTGTTGTTGTGCGTTATGAGAATGAATGTCTTTGCTCCGGGAGTAGCTAACTGTATTTAAAGTTCTTCAACTTACAGTGCAGTTAAATGGTACATATACACAGTCGAACCTGTGTAAGACGGCCACCCATTGTCAAGGAGAAAAGTGGTCATGTATAAGACAGGTGGTCATGTATAAGACAGGTGGCCGTCTTAGGCAGGACTGATCAAGATGAAGAAAACAAACCTTTCCTTTCTGAGGTCCCAACCGAAGATAGCCGCATTGTTGTTGTTGTTGTCCCCCCCCGCCCCTATTGAAGGTAATTTTGTTGCCATGGGAACTATGGAGCCAGACATCAGCCTGTGGGATCTTGATGTCGTCGACTCTCTAGAGCCAGTCAGTATCTTGGAGGGGGTCAAACCTATCAAGAAGAAGAAAAAGATGAAAAAGGTATTTATGTTGGTTGTGTTTTGTTTTGTTTTTGTTTTTTTTAAACTCTCATTAATTACTGCTGGTGTTCAGTTATGAACGATGCTGGTCATTGTCATATTTGTGGATTTCGTATTGTCAGTTTATTAAGTGGACACCACTTTACTTTTAATTACAATCTTGCTCATGCATTGTGAACAAGTTATGGGGTCCAGAATTTTTTTCTTTTATATTATATATATTCTTATCATTCAAAACTCATACATAGCCAAATTCATACCTATGACAAAACCATTTCAGGGTCTCACCAATTTTGCTAGGTGTGTGTGTGTGAAAGACTAGTAATGTTGCAGGAAGTTGAAGGATAGCAGCAGTGATAGGTCCTACTTTTTTTTCTTTTCCTCTTGTGTTCCTGTCTGTTTGCATTACTTTTACCAGGCACTAAATAACCGTTATTGTGTCAGTGTGCTTCTTTTTCGATGGCCGAGTAGAAGACTCCGACTGACACCATTATTTCTTACGTAATTTAGCGGCGTTTATCGGAGGCGTGCACCCACGCATTGATTTACTCCTAGAAACAAATTGCTGTTTTAATTGGGCACTCTCTTCTGGGTAACTGTTGAGATGGTCTCAGACGTGTTCAACATTTTTTTTTCTTTGCCGTTCCAGAAAGAAACTCTAAGCACAGGACACTCGGACGCTGTACTGGACCTGTCGTGGAACAGACACGTCAGGTTAGTGGTTGTTTGTTTGTGTTAGTGTTTTACCACGCTCGCAATTGCATAAGGTCATATGAGCGCGCGGGACACACCTTATATTTTCAGTTGGTAGGAAATTTTTTGAATTTTGCCCGGGTGGCGGCCGAAGCCTACTCATATCGATTTTAGACCACCAAGGGATCTTTAACATGCGCAACTTGCACACGGGCCCTCTGAGATTTTTCGCCCTTGTCCGAGAAGGGTAGGTGTTGATCTTTACTACCAGAAGATCAGGGGTGTGGCTGAAAGACAGCAGTAAGAAGAAGCCAAGGAGTAGCAGTAGAAAGGCTGTAGAAAGAATCAGGAGCCAAGAGGAGGGGGGCAAAGGAGATGAGGGAGTGGGGGCAGAAAGAGGAGACGAAAGCAGACGACAGAACATTGCTAAAGAGCAGGAAAGGAGGTGAAAGGAGACAAAATTTAGAGAAGAAAATTTTACGGTCACTACCCGGACTCGAACCCCGGACCTTTGAATGAGAGGCCAACACCTTAACATCGAGGCCACGAGAGCCCCCTAGGTTGGTGGTTGCTGGTCAACTCCCTTAGCCCTTGTCTACCCCCCCCCCCCCCCTGTGAAAAGTTGATTCATTTTGTGCAGTGCAGCTTTTTAATTTATCATTATACAGAACCACCTTTGAATACAATCGAAAAATGGCACTAGAGAAAACAGGGGAAAGAAAAGATTTTGACACTCTGAAAGGTTACATCAAGTTTGTCTAAAAGCTCACTCGCTGTTTTTGATTAGCCATTGAAGGGTCATGTTTTCTCAAGATTTTTGAAGAGAAAAAAAAAATAGAATAGAAGGTTTTGGGGTGAGGGAGGGAGTTTATGTACAAGAAATTAAATATTCATTGTTGTTGTGCGTTATGAGAATGAATGTCTTTGCTCCGGGAGTAGCTAACTGTATTTAAAGTTCTTCAACTTACAGTGCAGTTAAATGGTACATATACACAGTCGAACCTGTGTAAGACGGCCACCCATTGTCAAGGAGAAAAGTGGCCGTCTTAGGCAGGACTGATCAAGATGAAGAAAACAAACCTTTCCTTTCTGAGGTCCCAACCGAAGATAGCCGCATTGTTGTTGTTGTTGTTGTTGTTGTTGTTGTTGTTTTCGCTGAGTTTTCTTCTGTTTTTTTCTTTTGTTGCTGCTTTTGTCACGGGCGACAATAAAACGAAATGTGTCGGACAAGGAGGACCGAGTGCTATGGTAAAACAAGCTCATGGGTCGCCACCACTCGGAGAACGAGCGACGCTTCTGTCACAAGTTCATGTTGATGTCCATTGTTACTTTGTTACAGACTGGGTAAACAGTGACCACTTATCTCACTTACGATTTGTGTATGAGTTCTGAGCGGGGCTTATGGGTTATGAGGGATCACATGCTTACCTCACCAGCAGCTGAAAATTTGTTACCTATTGGTCAACAGTCGGAAGGGCCAACACAACATGATCGGTTGGAGGAACTACCTAGCAACAACGACAGGTGATTGGATTATGACGGCTCGCCCACAACGCCAAGGGCCAATGCACAATTTATGACAAAACAGAATGGAGTCACTAAGGTGGCCATCTAAGACAGGTGTTATTGCTTGGTGTGATAAGGGTTGTGTGTTAAAATATGGTGGCCGCGTTTGACAGGTGCCCGTTTTACACAGTTAACTTATAGAAAAAATGTAAGGGGAGAAATGGAAAGTGGCCGTTTGTACAGATGGCCGTCTTATAGAGGTGGCCGTCAGGGCAGGTTCAACTGGTTATGCTCATTTTATTTACATATAACATAGACTATCCCTTGTCTGAAAGGCAGCCAAGTGCTCTTTTTGAAAGTTCTCTGAACATTTATACCGATTAGCTAATAGAGTGACTTTATTTTTTGGGCAGGAATTAATTTTTATTTTTTCGTGGACGCTGGCCTAATGAGCTTACTCATTTCTAACTAAAATGTATTAGAACTGCTAAGGGAACTTTAATGAACAATACTTCGATATATGGGACCTCCAAAAATTTTTCATCCTTATCTGAGAAGACAAGGTGCTCGATCCTACTTAAGCTATGATTTTGGGGGGGGGGTTTGAAAAAAAGGAAGGAAAAAAATGATATTGATGGGGATCGAACTCTGGACCTCTGTGGTGACAGGCAGACACCCTACCAGTTAAGCTACTGAGTCCCCTATAACAAATTTCTAGTTATGAGAACAGTACTTTGCCTGTGCCATAATTCAACCCAGTTTTTACCAGGGTTCCTGCAGCCTCCTTGAATTCAAGGAGTCCTTGAAAACTCCTTGTATTTGAGGAACCTCCTTGAAAAATCCTTGAATCTTGTCGGATTGGACACGAACAAAATTTTTTAATTGAATTTTTGTTTCCTGTATTACTGCTCTTGGTGCGCCGTCGAAAACTGCATGAATTTCTTGACCAAATCTCCTTGAATTTCAAAAATTTCTCCTTAAAGTCTCTTTGAATTTGGTGGGGAGCTCATGGCAGGAACCCTGACTTTCCCCGTGACTGTGGAGCGGCAAATTTATCGAACCACGTGATTCTTGTTTCAGGAATGTTCTGGCCAGTGCCTCCGCCGACCAGACAGTCCGTCTGTGGGACCTGGCCGAGGGGAAGACGGCCTCCACGCTGACTCACCATTCTCAGCAGGTAGGTGGTTGGCGAGTGCTCTGGTGTGATATGCTTCTTCTTCCCTTCTAGCAAACGTCTATCGTTTTTATCTCCCCTCCTTCTTTTTTGTGTTTGTTACTCTTGTAACACCTCTAATCTTTGGCACTTATATATGTTATTGTGTTGCAAATGCCGTAAAACTCTTACTGACTAAAACAAAATTTTCAGCAGGTAGCCAGGCCTCCTAGAGTGACTTCTCCATAAGCTGTGCAGACGGCTTTTTCTGGGTGGTTGGCGGGTGCGCTAATGTGGTTTGTTCTTTTTTTCTCCCATCAAACATCTATCGGCCTTATCTCTCCTTTTTTGGTGTGTTACTCTCTGGTAGTGACACCTAATCATGAGCACTTCAATGCGCTATTTGTGTTGTGAGTGCAGTATGACTCTTACCAAAACTAAATATTAAAAGGCATGATTTTTTTCCGAGCACAGAAGGTTCGACTGGTGTGCTGTGGTGTCATCTGTGATGAATATCCCATTTAAGAAAAAAAAAATGTAAGTGTTTTACGGCGCTCGCAACTGCCTACGGTCATATGAGCGCGCAGGACACATTACACTTTTTCAGTTGGTAGGGAATTTTGAATTTTGCCCGGGTGGCGGCCGAAGCCTACTCTTGTTGATTTTAGACCACCAAGGGATCTTTAACATTCACAACTTGCACACGCGCCCTCTGAGTTTTTTTGCCCTTGTCCGAGAAGGCTAGGTGTAGATCTTTCCTACCAGAAGATCAGGGGTGTTGCTGAAAGACAGCAGTAAGAAGGAGTTAAGGAGTAGCAGTAGAAAGAGTCAAGAGCCCAGAGGAGGGGGCAAAGGAGGTGAGGGGTTGGGGGCAGAAAGAGGAGACGAAAGCAGACGACAGAACAATGCTAGAGAGCAGGAATGGAGGTGAAAGGAGACAATTTTTTTAAAAGAAATATTTTTCTGTCGCTACCAGGATTAGAACTCGGGACCTTTGAATAAGAGGTCAACATCTTAACCTCTAGGCCACAAGAGCCCCATTATCCCATTTTAAAAATTCTTCCTTGTTTCCTTGTTGGTCTTGTTCCTGCTCTTGACCTTAGAACCTTAAGTATCAGTGGGTTGTTTTGGGGGGGGGGGGTAAATATTTTTTTTCCTATCTAATCTATGGGTGTAATGAATTCTCTATTCAAGGTTCAGTGTGTTGCGTGGCATCCTGTGGAGTCTCAGTCCCTGCTCACTGGATCTTTTGACAAGTAAGATATTTCTTTGTTGCTTGTGCTGATGACCAAATGTGTAGCCTCTTTCTTACTCGCTCTCTTTATCTCTCGCTCTCTCTTGCTTTCTCTATCTCTCTCTTGCTCTCTCCCTCTCCCCCTCTTTCTCCTTTTCTCGTTATTGCTGTTTTACCTTAGTTGAACAGTAGTCCCCAAGTATGCGTGTTTGTTCATGTCAAAGTAAGGTCTTGGCATCTGTTCTCATGAGCACTGTACTGTATGCAAGCAAGACCAGGACAATGTATTCACCGTGGGTGGTTGGCAGGTGCTCTGCTATGGTTTGCTCCTTCAAACATCTATCGTCCTAATCTCTCCTCCTCCTCCTTCTTTTTTGTGATTGTTTCTCTCTAGCTTACTTTACTTGTTTATTTTTTCCTTCCTCTGGTATCCTTAGGATGTCGAGGGGTTCTCTCTAGCAACACCTCTAATCTTCGGCGCTTATATAATGTAATTGTTGCAAATGCTGTATAACGCTAACTGAAACACAATGTATTCCCCTGTGACCTGGCCCCTGGTATCTGCAGCGACGGAACTGTTCCTCCTACTTCTGACAGTAAATGAGATCTGTCTGTCCAAAGACGTGACTCACCCCCTGCTGTACCTTTTGCAATTTGGACCTATGTTTTCTGGATTAAAATTTTTATTTATATATATATACTGTAGTCTCCGCCTAAGATCCCGGTGCTCAGGAGCAAGGAAATGCGGGATCTTAGGCGAACCGGGATCTTAACCGACGAACCCAGGGAAAAATCTATGGTGACTCATATTAAGGCTCACGATAATAATAATAGATAGCATTTGTATAGCGCATATCCCCGCTCAACAGCAGGCTCTATGCGCTTTACACTATAAATCCATAAAATGGTCTCCCTCCACTCTAAAATGAACTGACGTGACCGCTTTGTGGGTTTATGACGTATGGCGAGCAAAGAGTGGTTAACCTTGATAACCTGACCAGACCATCAATGATTTATTTATAGAGGCACCAGCCATCCTTGTCCAGGTGCTGTTTTAGCCTCAGACCTTGATAACCTATCACAGTGCTTAGTGGCATGAGGTATGCCATTTTCACTTATTATCCTATCATGAGTCTCAAGATGTACGCTTATCCAGTTGCCCCTCCCCTTTACCTGTCAAAAATTTATAGCTCCCCCCAACCGCCTTTGTCATTACACACCATTACGTTGTGAATACACCAATTAAAATTCAGTCTGTCTCGCAAATTCGGGAGTAGAGACAACTGTAGCAATGGTCGGGGAAGAGTTCACGGTTCGATGTGATCCCGCCTTGAGGGAACGTGTAGGCCCTACCCACCCAGCGTGTGATGTAAATTTAGGGGGAGAGCTCAGGTGTGAGTGCGGTTGCGTGGGGAAAACAACTGTGTAGGTCAGTTTACATCCCGGTGTGATCCCGTCTGGGGCAAACATTGTATCGCTTCATCGAGTTTTACAACGTGTATGTGATCATATTCACGATAGCGGCTGATACTGATCTTTGACGCGACGGACAGTTTATTGATCTCAAACTTTTCACTCTTAGTTGATCGGCTATGCCTGCCCGCGGTTTTTGTTCCGCAAATTATGATCTGAAATGCGGGATCTTAGCCGAATGTCGACCTTCAGAGTGAATCAGAGCGGGATCTTAGGGGTGACTTTTGTATAGTAAAAATTCTGTTTTCTTAAAACAGCGGGATCTTAAGCGAACCGGGATCGTAAGCGGTGGGATCTTAGGCGGAGACTACTGTATATATATAACTTTTTTGTGTTTACGGGTTGTTTCTAATCTTTATAATATTCCTGCCCATGAATGTTGGACACCTGATTTCTAGTTCTTGTCATGCATTTTCAACCATATGAAAACTTTTTTTCCTATCTTTGGGTTTAGCGAAAAAGATTCAAACCTGAGTCTTGGGTTTTCAGTTCTGTGGTAACTTAACTGTTCCCAAATATATGTATAAGTTTTGTAAATAAATGTGGAATTTCGAATTTCTCCGGGGGAAAAGGCCCCTTTTTTTAACCCTTTTTTTTTTTTTTTTTTTTTTTTTTTTTTCCCTTTTGTTTCTGGGGAAACCCCCCCCCCCGGGTTTGCCTTTGGGACCCCCCGGGGGGGGGGAAAGCCTGGCAATTGGAGGGGGAAGGGGGGGGGGCCTGGGGGGCCCCTTCCCCCCCTTTTCATTTTTGGGGGGGCCCCAAAAAAAAAAAACCCCCCCCCCCCCCCCCCCCCCCCAGCAGTGCTCCGGGCTAAAGTGTCTTTAGCCCATTCCCAAGGGGGGGGGGGGGGGGGGTATTAACATGTTCTTATGCACAGTAGAATTGTAAATGGGCTGACTTATCAATGTCATGCAACATACTGTGCCGAAACAACATAGGGGGAATTGCTGCTTTTTCTTTCCTCATTCTAACTATCGTCGTTTTTCCTTTTCTTCTTTTGTATGTTTGTCACTCTCTTGTGAATTGCTATTTCCGGGGTGCCTTGAAACAGGAGAGGTGAGCAGAGTAAGCCTGATTCCCCGTTTGGACTTCTCTGTTGACATCCACCGCTTAGTGCTCATATGACCTTATGCAGTTGCGAGCACCGTAAAAACCTTACTAAAACTAAAACTCTGTGGTGTGGCAAGTAGGCACCCTGTCGTTGCACACAAAAAACATGGGTTTGATTCCTCAGCAGTGTTGGGAGAATTTTTATTAAGTATCTTGACCTTTCTATTAGGTCATTGTTTGTATCCCTCTGCTCCCTACCAAAACTGAAAATACTGTATTGTCAGTATATGGTATCTATTGTTATATATATCTGTGCCATTTCCCATCCCCTAGATAGTTTTGTATTATATCTATGTATCTTTGCCCCCCAAATATTTTTGTATCTTCTATATATATCTCAGTGTCTCTTTTCCCAGACATTATTGTATCAATATCTGTATCAGACCATCCCCCTAGCCATAATCTCTCTATCTGTGTGGGTGGTTGGCGGGTGCTGTGGTGTGGTCTGCTTCTTCTTTCCTATCAAACATCTATCGTCCTTATCTCCCCCTTTTCTATTTTATCTTTGTTACTCTCTTGTAACACCTCTAATCTTCTGGCGCTCATATTCATATGACCTTATGCAGTTGCGAGCGCTGTAAAACCTCTACTAAAGCTAAACTCTGTGTGTGTCTTTCCTTCTCCCCCCCCCCCCCCCCCTCTTCACACACACACAATAATTGCATAGAATTTTTATGTGTGTCTTCCCATCCCATAGACCTGATTGTATGATTGTGGGTTCGAATCCCGTTAAGGACCCGACGTTGTGTCCTTGGGAAAGGCACTTTACACGAATTTTCCTCACTTCACCCAGGTGGGAATGGGTACCGGGCTATAGACAGCGAAAGATCTTGTCAGTTTGTTAGTGTTTGAGCGCTTAATCGGCTGCTTGCACTGTATGCTTCCCGGGAAGCTGAGAATGTTTCGGAGTGTTCTTTGGTCTGCTGGGGTAATAATATAGTGTAAAGCGCATAGAGCCTGCTGTTGAGCGGGGATATGCGCTATACAAATGCTATCTATTATTATCTATTATTATTATTAAATCTATGTTCTGTGTGCAATATAAATTGTATATATTTATATGTCAATACCCCCCACCCCTCCAAACATTTTTGTATAGAATATAGAATGTAGAATCTGTGTCTTACCATCCCTTCTAAGACATAATTTTCCACGCGCTCATCATATGACCTCATGCAGTTGCGAGCTCTGTAAAACTCTTATTAAACTAAACTAAACGACGTAATAATTTGTATATCCCCATCTGTGTGTGTCCTCAGGCCAGCACAGACCAAGGCAACCTGTACTGCGTCGACATCCGGCAAGACAAACCCGTGTACACACTGTCGGCCCACGAGCAGGCGGTGACAGGTGAGAGAGAACTTGTCTTGGTGCAGCGTAAGCTGGCGCCAGTTTCCCGCCGGCATATTGTTCCTATTGATGTTTCCAATTCAGCCAGTCTTTTGCCCTTTGGTCCAACATGCCATCACTTGAGCCGGTTCCCGTGTATTTACTGGACTCACTTTTTCGATCGATGTCATCTTAGTGCAGCGTTAGCTGGCACGATTTTCCCGCCGGCTTATTGTTCCTTAGTTTCTTTTGATATTTCCAATTCAGCCAGTTTTTCGCCCTTTGGTCCTACGTGCCATCACTTGAGCCAGTTCCTGTGTATGTATACGGGATTCACTTTAATGATCGATATCTCCAGTGTATTTTGGTTAAAAGCTGCGGGAAACAGCGAGCCAACAGTTGACTCGCTTGTTTCGTTTCATTAAAAATTCATTGAAGTTACGTGTGATACTTTTTTAGCTGTAATAGACGAAGTTAGTCACCGCTGCACTGCGATAGATGGTTTTATTACAAATTGGGTGCAAAACAAAATTGCGTAACCCCCAGACATCGCCTTTTCAAAATATTGATAAAATAAAAACTATTTGGACAAATTAGATGCCGTTCTCTTTTTCTGTGAGAGCATTTCTTTCTTTTGTTGCATTTAAACAAAATTATGATTGCTTTCACAGTCATTTGTGGTTAACAATTCAATATACCCCAAAACTGTCTGGCTGCAATGGTTGTTGGATGTAAAAATAGCTCAGGCTCAAGTGAGTGAAAGACAGAAATAATAATGATAATTGCATTTATATATATATAGGGGAATATCCATGCTCTATGCTCTAAACAACTATTGTTACCCCAGCAGACCCTAGAACATTCAGAAACATTCTCGGTTTCTCGGGGAGCATGCAGTACCAGCAGCTGATTAAGTGCCTGAACAGTAACCTTCTGTGCTGAAGTACAGGATTCTAAATGGCATAATTCCATACCTGTTTCTTTGCATTTATTTTGAAATTTTGCCTGTTATCTTTAAACATTGCTGAACATGCCCTTAGGCCTGTTCTATGGTGTGACTTCTTTGAACTCAATCCCATGTAAACGTCCCATTGTTGCATAGCAGCTTCTCTTTCACTGCCTGGGTCAGGTTTCTGTCTGCTGACATTTTCGTTTCTCTGCATAGGTACAACAGAAACTAGGTTACAGACTTTTGAACATATTGGTTCTTTAGAAATCAAACACCAATGACAAAGAAATAGAGATTAGAAATAGAAGTAAACTTTAGTGAGTCATTCTTTACCAACCAGAAAATGGGGACAGGAGTAGACAGCTCTTTGAAATAAAAGTTCAGTAGTCTATAATAATCTTTTGTAGTTTTTTTACAGTTTTTTTTAATTGGTGTTTTTATATTGTTTGGTTGCTCTTGTAAACGTTATATTTAAAAATTGTTCAATTTCATGGGAAATTATAACTCTTTTCTTTGGGGAGGGGGGTCTTATCAGACTAAGGCCTTAGCCTTAAGTGGGATTGAGTGAAGCAAGCGGCTTAATGCAATGAATCCTTTACTGGAGAAAAAGAACATTTGGTTGCACCGTAAGTGTAATAAATATGGCTTGACTTACCCCTCATTTGACTCACATATGTTATGGCGTGGTTGTAGTGAGTTTGAATTGTACCGGGATCCAAAGTGAGACTCATTCATCATTGTTGCATATCTGGATTGGAAACCCTAGTTTTGACTTGAGCTGTTCTTTTCATTCTTTAACTTTTGAGAAGTGAGCAACTGAAAGGCTCTGCTGTGTTTTTTTGTTCCTATTGCCTGGCAAGATCTGACCTTGAGCAGCTGACCATGCCTTAAATGTCGACTTGAATGATTCACTTTTTGTTAAGCATATTATGGTTAGTGTTGGGGCTCTGGTATGGTCTGCACCTGTGGATATATTTCAGTGCTGCCTTTGCTTGCTGCAAGTAGGCCTACAAAGGAATGAACCCTCTCTTGTGTTCAGCGGGAACCTTCACATGGTGACATGGTGCGTTTTGAGGCAAACTATTATTATTATTATTATTATTATTATTGTTGTTGTTGTTTGCTACATCTATTGTGTTCCCCACTCCCATCAGGTTTGAGCTTCAGCTCTCAGATCCCCGGTCTTGTTGTGACAACCTCGCCAGACAAGCATTTCAAGGTGTGGGACGTACAAGGGAACAAGCCCTCTCTTGTGCTCAGCAGGAAACTTCACATGGTACGTTTTATCTCAGCAACATCTAATCTACTACTTTTAGAAGGCATGCTGCTTCGGGGGTTGAAAGAGATACAACATCCCTGCTGACAAAGACACTACGATAAAAACCTCCCCACATGGGAATCAAACTCACATCTTCTGTATGTGTCAGCGACGAGCCTTATCATCACGCCACAGACAACAATGTTTTCTGTCTACTCTTTGTGCAGTTTATTTGGAATAGGAAATTCCCATTGATTTACTTTTTCTGTTCATTTTATGCTTCCTTGTTGGTTTTACAGCTTGGACATTTTATATGTTGAGTCTACAACTCCATGGTTTCCTTAGTAAAATCGTTTTGAATGTGGTTCTGACCCCTTGTTTATCGTTTTCTCATTGGAGTTTGATGAGATGGATGAAGTTTCCAAAAATGGAATTTTTTAAAAATGATGTGCTGAAAGTTTTGAAAGTACAGGATGTCTCAGAATGATTGGTCATAGAGCATTAATTGCTCTGTTTCTTACTGGCCTCAACATGCAATTGATTTTTTTGAAGAGTTTATACTTTTGATGAAAAAGGGGAAGGTTGGACCCATGCTCAAGTTTTCAATATATGGTTGTACTGTGATGTAGCTATTTGGCCTCCCTCAACCCACCACCACAACCAACACACATGCACACGCGCATACACACCTAAATAAACACACAAACAAGCACACACACAAACACACTATTTATTATTTGATAGAGAGCAGTGTTTCATGTGAAATGTTCCATTGATATCTTCAGGACATACTCCACTGTGTGTCCTGTAACCCCGATGAGCCGTTTGTGTTTGCCGTGGGTGCCAATAAGGACTTCAAGGTCTGGGACATCCGAGAGAGTGCGGCTGGTGAGTTTCTCCCCTTTGAACATTTCTGCAAAGAGGTTATACATAATATATATAATATATACAGTCAAACCTGTGTAAGACGGCCACCCATTGTCGAGGAGAAAAGTGGCCGTATAAGACAGGTGGCCGTCTTAGGCAGGACTGGTCAAGATGAAGAAAACAAACCATTCCAGTCTGAGGTCTTAATCGAAAGTAGCCGTTTTGTTGTTGTTGTTGGTTTGTATTTTGTGTTATTTTTATTTTGTTGATGATTTTGCGCAAGGGTAACAATAAAACGAAACGTATCAGACGAGGAAAACCGAGTGCCATTTTAAAATGAACACATAGGTCGCCACCACTCGGAGAACGAGCGACGACGTCAATTGTTGCTTTGTTACAGACTGGGTAACAGTGACCACTCATCTCACTTACGATTTGTGTATGAATTCTGGGCGGGGCTTATGGGTTATGAGGGATCACACGCTTACCTCACCAGCAGCTGAAAATTGGTACCTATTGGTCAACAGCCTACGCAACATGATCAGTTGGAGGGACTACCTAGCAACAACGACAGGTGATTGGATTATGACGGCTCGCCCTCAACGCCAGGGGCCAATGCACAATTTATGACAAAACAGAATATATATATAACACTAGAGCTCGCGGCAGTGAGGTCAGATATGAGGGCCTTCTTACCTTCATCGACCCCCCCCCCCCCCCCCCCCCCCCATTTACATGAACAATCCGAGCCCCCATCCCTCTCCCCACAAGCTCTTGTTATATTAACCACCATCCTGCCCCCATATTCCAGTGCAAGCTTGTAGATTTCCTCCTAAAACTGCCGAGACGCCTCCACGTGAGTCTCGAAAAGCACTCACCCATCTGTTGAAGTGCACATGCCTTGCCCTTAAGGTTCAGCATCCCAGAGCGGGCACACGCAGCCCCCGTTCATTTGCGTGGGGGACATCACTGTTACAAACTCTACTGCTAAATATAACCTCTTTGGCTTTTCTGATAGTTGTTTCATACCTGGTTTTTTTTTGGGGGGGGGGGGGGGGGGGTGTTACAATTTCAGACCTGCCAAGTTACTCTGATAAAATCAGAGCCCTCTGATTTTTCTCGTGCTTGTTGAAGAAACCTGAACAGATTTGTAGAAGATCAAATTTTTTTCATGGAATTGGATTTCCACCCGTCATACACAATTTATCATAAAAGAGTAGGTAGCGTAAACACAGCTTCGAGGGCACTCACAGCCTTCCGAGCACGTGGTTTCAGTGAAATCTGGGTCTGTTACTGCGCTCTTTCGCTATCAAACATCAAATGCTGTGCACCTTATAAAAGTTCAGCTTTTTCTCGTTACAATGGTGTTAGTTGTATATATATCCGATTATTAGGAGCTGGAGAATCGCTGCAGAAAGCGAAGCCCCTCGCGGTCGGAATGCATGGTCTGCTGGTTAGAAAATTAACATGCGTGCATTCAAATGCTTCGCGGAAAGATTGATGATTAAATACCGTCTTTTCATTGGTGAAAAACTGTAGAGCTTTTATAGGGCTTTCCTGCGGTATATTTTTGGCCTTTGGTGTTTAAATAGAAAGCCTTTAAAAATACCGTCTAAGTTTTCGAAGATCATTTTTCACACAAAATATGTAAAATACCAGCTCAAAAAGATTACCATTAGAAAGATCAGTTTCTCTTTCTCTTGGAATAAAATAATCAGCTCAGAATTGTTTTGCCTCAATCCTTCCGCGAAGTTCGGAAAGCATGTGACCCCCCCACACGGGGAGCACTCGGTACCCTACAGTATAGAGCCGATTCACTCGCAGCGGGTGCGGCACTGGCCGGTTCAACGCTTTGTGTTTTTGTCATAATTACGACAGATCATCGTGTTTGCGGCGATAAAATACTGATTTGTATTGATCTCACACTCTTGAAAAGAATTAGGCTCGTGGAGATGTTTGGTGCACCTGGTACTCTTTTATTGTCTGTAAAAACATGGGGCTGCAGCCAGTTGGCGACTTCAGCAAATTTGATCATATTTAAAACAGCTACCATTTTCTTAAAAGTTGACGGAGAGGTTAAAGAATGGTATCAAAATTCTCAGGAGATGTAGGCCTTTCATATGGAACAGATAAATTTGGCATACAGCTACTTTGAACATTTAGTTTCTGGTACCTAAAAAGAGGTAAAAATACACTGGTTTATTATCTTCGTGACTTATGGTAAATTATGCGAGAATACACGTTTGTGCATTTATTTGTCTGTCTTTGTTTTGGGTTTGTTTTTTTAACCTCTGAAAATACACATTTGTGTCACAACGCGGTGGAATCAGGCGCTCATCAATTTTTGAGCATGTGAACTTATTGGTATCAACTGAAAGCTTGTTCATTTGCCTCGCTTTCGGTGAAAAAATACTGATTGATCTTGAATAGAAGTCTAGATGTTTGCTATTGAAGAACATGTGTGTCGCCTGGTTTCAGAGGTAAATTTGCGAGAAAATGGCCCCCAAAGTTGGGTAACTTCCATTGTTTTAGAGTCCTTGGAAACTGAAAAACTTACAATTTTTGTGTTCTTTAATCAATGTGTTTCAGTAAAAGCCACACAGCAAAGTATTCTTAAAGGGAAATAAAAGGTGTTGAACCAAAAAACGAAAAATAGATAAAAAATTGTCAAAGAGGAAGAAAAATAGTTTTCTTCAATTTCATTACTTTGACGAGCGCCTAATTTCACCACTTGCCTCACATTTATTTATTGCATGTATTTGTTTCTTTTGAACCAAAAAATGATCTTCACTCAAAGGCTCGAATTTGTAGATCTTGTCTTATCAAAAAGAATTTGAAAATAAAGCCAAAAATCATGGCAAAAGTAGGCTACTGGTGATCTTGGTCATATAGGAACAAACACGTGCGTGCACACAAGTTCCAACGTGTCTTTCATCACTTGAGTAGGTCTATCCTGGCTTCTGATGGTACAAGTGCAAGCCTACAAAAACATACTATAGCCTCTCAAACCGCCTTTTATTGACATGTTTGCTCTTGCTTGTGTCCTGTTGTATTTATGCAAGGAGGTTGTGTGTTTAGGAAGGGTGCCTAAGGGCGAAAACATAGAGAACGCCGATTTCGGAGACTGACTCGGTAAGTGCCAATAGGTATAAAAATTCCCTTATGATTTCCAACTTGCCCCACATAGAGCTGGCAGACTGCCGGCGGCTTTAGACACTGATCGGCTTTATCGGAATCTAAACTACATTCTTATTATGCCGAAAAACTGGGAAGGGCACCTCGCTGTCAACTCACGACCTCGGTGCTTTCTTGTTGTATCTCCATTTTTAATAACAGTCACATTTTCACTCTTATTAAAAATGGAGATACAACAAGAAAGCACTGAGGTCACGAACTCTTAATGCCAACTCGGGTTCGGTGGTTTGTGTGACGTCACCCGACTGGACTGGGGACAATTTTAAATGGTCATTTCAGAGCTGGTGCTTCACAGTAGACAAATACTAATTACATGTCTCTCTCCCCCCCCCCCTTAATAAAATAAAATGCTTCATAAATACCAGCTGTGTTATGTAAATTTTTTTTTCTTCGATCTAGATCTTAATCGCCCTCTATGTAGAGTCAAGTAGACACCTACACCTACTGGCCCCTGTCCGCGTCCATCTTCAGCCACTTAAGTTTCGGTGTTCTCTCATGTTTTCGCCCTGAGAGAATGACACTTGCAAATAGGGTGTAATTTGTGTAGAAAATTCCTAAAAACGGACGACCAATGCACCATCTGCACCCTTTTGGATATTCATTCTACTATGCAACACTTCCCTACTCCGAGTTTAGTGGACAATAGTCTGAATTATACACACCCAGTCCGTGGGCAGGTGGTTAGCGAGTGCTCCGGTGTGGTTTGCTCCTTCTTTTCTATCAAACATCTATTGTCCTTATCTCTCCTACTTCTTTTCTGCGTGTGTTACTCTCTTGTAACACCTCTAATCTTCTGCACTTATATGATCGTTATTGAGTTGCAAGTGCTGTTAAACTCTTACTAAAACTTTTTTAAAAAACCAACACCCAGCCAAACCCCTAAAAACTACCGTATCTATCTGCAGTGAGACGCCATTTTCTAGATCGCATGCCAAGCAAACTGGCGGCCGAGTGTGAGGGGGATGACGAGGACTTGCTGGAGGACGCGGCCGCAGCTGCCATGGAGAACCTGAACATGGACGACGAAGATGCCGCCGAAGAGGAGGAGATGCTGGCTGGAGACCGGCCAGTTGCCAAAGCCAGCGGGGAAGGCAATCAGGCATTGAAGGCAAAGAAGAAGAAAAAGAAGAAGAAGAAGAAAGGAGGAGCAGAAGGATGAGTGTGACCTGTACATTTTATTGTAAAAGTTATAATAATAAATTATAACACCAGAAATTTAAGCGTGTTGTGTTGTGATTTATTTTCACATTGAAAGTTACAAACGTTCATCATGCATGAATGAAATTTTAGCATTTTATGAGCAGTTGACATGTACGAGACAATGTGTAATAATTTTCCGCCGATGTCTTCATAAGTAGGTAATCAAGTTCTATCCCAAGTGATCAAAGGAACCAAATCTCATTATGAATTGCCCGACTCCATTAGCTTCTCATGTGTGTAAAACACTTCAGGAGAGTCTTTGACAATATCACGAGCTACAGATCTGTGCATGATTTGAGCACCACAATTTTGTTAAATTTGTTAGAACCATCCTCTCGATGGGATGCAGGGAGACAGATCATACCAAAAGCCTAAGATAACACGTCCTTCTCTAATTATCAATTTTTATAGAAATAGAGGGGGGATAAAATGTGCCATTGTTTACCAGATGAAATACCATCAGCATCATTATCATTTATCTATTGCCCAAGTCAATTTCTAGGGAGGTCCAGATCAAGATATTATTCAAATAAGAAAATAACAAGGGCCGAAGTCATTGTTTTGATTTGGGAGCTCTTTTTAAATTTCTCAAAATTTCAAAAATAGCTTTGGCGATTGTGAAATTACGCTGACAATGTCTGGAAATTTCTCCCTACATTTTTCAAGAATATTGACATTCACTAAAACAGCTTATACCCCAAAAATGGGAAAGCTGTGGGACACACAAGTTCAAATTTTTTGCTCACTTCAAGTCTATATAAACGTTGGATGCCCTGACCCCAAAAGGAAATCTATCTCTTTTGGTTAACTTTGTGAATTAAAGCCTAGCCACTTGATGTGACCGGCAATGAGATGTCAAGGAACTACTGCAATAGAGTCTCAAAGCCCAGGAATTTTTTACAGAAAATTATCCTACCATTATGAAGCACAATAATGATTTTTATGAAATGTCAAACGATTTGCACTGGATGTCAAAATGACACATTATAAGAGTTCTATGTTAGATTGTGGGTAAAACTGAAGAAACACCTGCTTTTTAAACAGCAGCTTTGTCCATACAAGGCAAGGACCCATATCACCAGAGTGAAGGGAACGCAAACAGAAAATACAACTCGTGGAAGGAAAGCCTACTGATGTGATTGCTGATCATGAAGAGGACACACACTGATGTATCGTACAAAACAAAACTCTTTCAAATTGTCAAGTTCCGCTTTCGCCAATCACTTTCTCTCCTCCCCCCCCCCCCCCCCCCCCCCCATTTTGGGGCGAAAGCAAGGACAAATGTAATTTATTCTGTGGCTACTTAGTTTCTTCTAAACATTTTGGGGTTTTTTTTTAGTGCGGGTACCACACTATCACAGCCAGAGACTTGTGCTATCAAACTATCACTTCTGGTAAAAATATGAAGCTGTCACTTTACTACCAGTAAGTTTTTAAGTTTCAAGTAAAAATATGAAGCTGTCATTTTACTAAGTTTTCAAGTTTCAATCACTTTTGGGTGTGCGTGTGTGTGGGGGGGGGGGGGGGGGGGGGGGGGCGGGAGAACTAATGACTTGGGTACTTGCGGAGGAGACAACAAGAGAATCTATAGATGTCCTCGACAGGCTGCCCCAAGAAGCAGGGGGTGAGCCACGTTGTCCGATCTAGTCCACCTCTTCATAGGTCTCTTCCGTCTTGGATGTGGTGGTTTCCAGGTCAGGCCCCGCTCCCTCTGTCTCGCCTTCCGTCCCCTCGCTTTTATCCTCGTTCCCTCCAGGTACCCAGAGGCCTGAGTCGATGCAGCGCTGTATGTGATAGGCAGCCTCCTTCTCAGGTATTTCTGTGACAGCTTTCTGGAGGGCACCAATGTCTTGCGACTCGAAACAAAGTCGCAGTTTCTGCAAAGTCAACAGCAAAAGTCAGTAACACATCAAGTAGGGAACCAAAAAAATAGTGGGGAAAGCCAAATCGGCAGCCTACTTATACCAATTCTACTTTGTTTTTAAAGCTTAGAGTTGGAGCACTTTCAATACAAATGAGAGAATATTCCTTTTGTTTCTCTGTTTACAAGATGAGACAAACTGTATCAATCTTCCACTAGTGGTGGAAAAAAAAAAAGTGTTTTTGCTGTCATCAATATTGCATTAGTGCACCATATACGGTAGCATGTGAATCACTGTCCTCTCGACATGGTTGAGTTTTCTGTTAAAGAAAAAAAAAAGCAGTTGTAAATAAAAGTGGGTGGGAACTTGCCTCAGGCAGCGACTCCATCACTTCCACAGGATCCAGACCACCAGGTCCCAGGCGCTTCTTCCGTTCCTCCTATACCATCGAAAAAACACAAGAGAGAGGAAATTAGCAAAAAGCATATTTACAGTGTAACTCTAAAGGCAAATTTGGCATGTCCTGCAAGGGACAGCCCCAGTCTTTGAAGGTAGCAATACCCCGCGGGGCAGTGCCACTGACTGTAGTGTCTTTAGGCCATTCCCAAAGGGGGGGGGACATTTCTCGTTCAAGCACAGTAGAATTGTAAATGGGCTGATTCATCATGTCACGCTCATAACTGTGCCTGATCTACAACAGGGAACTGCTGCTTTTTCTTTCCTATTCCTTACTATTGTCATTTTCCTCTACTTCTTTTGTATGCTTGTCACACTCAGTCTCTTGTGACCCGCTATTTCCGGGATGCCTTGAGTCCAAGCAGACCTAGTGCTGTTGAAGCTAGAGAGGTGAGCAGAGTAAGTCTGATTCCCTGTAAAGACTTCTCTGTTGACACCCATCCCTTGGCACTCATATGACCGTATGCAGTTGCGAGCGCCGTAAAACCGTCTACTAAAAAAGAAAAAAATGTCACGCTCATAGTCATAACTATGCCTGATCTACAACAAGGAACTGCTGCTTTTTCTTTCCTAAACCTTACTATTGTCATTTTTTTCCTCCTTTTGTATGTCATATGAGCGCCAAGGGGTGGATGTCAACAGAGAAATCTATACAGGGAATCAGATTTACTGTGCTCACCTCTCTACCTTCAACAGCATAAAGTCTGCTTTGACTATCAAGGCACCCCGGAAATAGTGGGTCAGAAGAGGGTGACAAACATACAAAAGAAGTAGAGGAAACATGACAATAATAAGAAACAGCAGTTCCCTGTTGTAGATCAGGCACAGTCAGGAGTGTGACATTGATGAATCAGCCCATTTACAATTCTACTGTGCATGAATGAGAAATGTCCTCCCTTTGGGAATGGCCTAAAGACACTTCAGTCAGTGGCACCGCCCCCGGTGGTGCTGACTCTGAGGACAGGTAAAGTATGGCTGACTCTGACTCAGAAAGGTAGGACAGGTAACTATGGCCAACTTGAGTCGCCACCTCTTAGATGAGTGTGGCGCCATGTGTTAGAGTCCTATACGGTTACATTTGGATAGACATGGACTCTACTTTCATGAGGAATCGACTCCATCACAGTCAAGGCACTTGCAACGCAATAAGGGAGGTCACATAGATGCACAAAATTAGAGATGCTACAATAGAGTAAAAAACACAAAAAAGAAGGCAGAGCGATCAGGGCGATAAGATGTTTGATAGGACTGTCCCCGTCGTTTTATGCAAGAAAAATTTTGTAATTATGCAAACTGAGCCCGAAAATGTGAAATTAAGCGATTCTGTTAATTTTAACAAAGAATGATAAAGGAAAATAATCAGAAATTATATAAAGCAAAAAATGATCAAATTTTGCCAAATTATACAGGGTGCATACAACCACGGGGACAGATAGGAAAGAAGAAGCAAACCACACCAGAGCACCCGCCAACCACCCACTTTCTGAATCTGAGAGCTGAATTGTTCAACTGCACATGGCAGCAGTACAAAATTTGGGAGTGTGGTGTACGGTGCAGGCTATGCTCCTCCCATATGGGGAATATCTGTCCCCGTCGTCTCCCATATGGGGAATATCCTGTCCCTCAAACACAGCACCCGTCACAACTTTTGTTTTAGTAGAGGTTTTACTGCGCTCGCAACAGCATAAGGTCATATGAGAGCAAGAAGATTAGAGGTGTTACAAGAGAGTAACAAACATAAAAAAGAAGAAGGGGAGATAAGGACGATAGATGTTTCATAGGAAAGAAGAAGCAGCTGTCACAACAGCCACAGCAAGGATCAACACTTGAACAGTTCGACAACAATTTACAACAAAAAAATACTTTCAAAGTTTGGCTGAAACTAGTATCATCGTATCTTGAGAAAGGTGGGGCACATTCCAGAGTCAACTTCTTTTTTCACAAAACGCCATTTTGTTCATCTTAAAAGAACTGCAAAATATGATGCTTTTGTTTTAACAAAACCTGACAAAAGCGATAGACCTTTTCTCGACAAACCGCTACATATCCTCTGCACGCCAATCAAGTTCTATCCTCGAGTCACATAACTTTGTTTGTGGTCCACAAAAATTTGTCTGCGGTTCTTTCCCTTCCTTATTTCATCATACAACAAATATCAACTAAACCTTACACCATTTTTACTCTAAAAGCAAAGTTGCTTGAGATTATTCAGTGAATGGGTGAAGAAAAGAAATCAATTTTCTCACAACACTGGAAAAATGAATATGTTGCGTTTTGTCATGAAACTGTCCACTAATCTATTCTCTGAAATTTTTCTCCATGGACCCCACATTTTTCGGCCTCTCAGGAAGTACAAAATGGCGAGTGTATTTTTTAAAATCTGAGAGCTTACCGTACCCCAACTGTGCAAACTGCATTCATGTAAAAAAGAAACTGAGTCATGGTTAACCATTTTCCTCACTTCATCCAGGTGGGAATGGGTACCCGGCTATAGACAGCGAAAGATCTTGTCAGTTTGTTAGTGTTTGAGCGCTTAATCAGCTGCTTGCACTGTGTGCTTCCCCGGAAGCTGAGAATGTTTCGGAGTGTTCTACAGTCTGTTGGGGTAATAATATAGTGTAAAGCGCATAGAGCCTGCTGTTGAGCGGGGATATGCGCCATACAAATGCTATTTATTATTATTATTATTCATCCGTGTGGTTCTTGGGGCTCTGTCCAAGAGACAGGGGAGCAAAGAATAGGACCACTGTATCCGTACCGCGCATGTCGTAGAAGGCGACTAAGGTCGGTTGGGCAAAGGGTTAGCAGCCCTTTCCCATAAAACAAAAGCAGCTACAAAAACATCAACAGCAAAAACAACACGACCGCCAGTTCTGGAAGATGGAGGACCTAAAAGGATGCTCAGGACAGGCTTCGCTGGAGTAATGTTGTTGATGGCCTGTTCTCCACTGGGAGTTAAAAAGGGCAAGAGAGAGAGATTATTATTATTACTAAACCAACCTAGCTTCAAATACAATATAAGACAACAGAGAGCCTGTCCAAAGCTCGAATAAAATGTAAGGTACCAGAGAACTCCTTCATACCTCTTCAAAACCCTTCACAGCTTACAGTCCAGAGCCTAGCTGTCTTTGATTTTCTCTTTAAAAAATACCAAAATTGTTCCCACCTTGAGACAGAATGTAACAAAACTAGAAACTCGTTCATACCTCTTCGTATTCCTTCATGGCTTCTTCGATGCGGATCCGGGCTCTCTCCTTGATTCTCTCTCGGAAAGATCCGAGTTCGTCATTGAATGCATCTGTGTACTGTTTCTCCCCAAGTTTTATTCTGCACCATGTGGACATTGCATGCATGAAAAGTTATCTTCAAGATTTGAAAAAACACACACATATAATGCACGTATCTAGTAATGAAATGAAAGTCTTTTATTTACACACATACACAAATAGTGCAAAAACAAGAAGGTTCATGAGATAAAAATAAAAGTACAAAAACCACAGCAAATAAAAACTTTTAAATTACAAATGGGAAGTGAAGAAAGACATTTAATTAAAACTCTTTTTTATAACTACTATAAGGAACCAGAAGTTCCAAAAATGATGTGAAGTGTTTTGGGGTTTTTTCATGGTTTTTTAAAAGTTTTACAGCGCTCGCAACTGCCTAAGGTCATATGAGCGCGCGGGACACACCAAACATTTTCAGTTGGTAGGAAATTTTGAATTTTGCCCGCGTGATGGCCGAAGCCTACTCTTATCGATTTTAGACCACCCAGGGATCTTTAACATGCGCAATTTGCACACGGGCCCTCCGAGACTTTTCGCCCTTGTCCGAGAAGGCTAGGTGTAGATCTTTCCTACCAGAAGATCAGGGGTGTGGCGGAAAGACGGCAGTAAGAAGGAGCCATGGAGTAGCAGTAGATTAAGGCTGCAGAAAGAGTCAGGAGCACAGAAGAGGTGGCTGATGTAAAGTCTGTCGGTGAGCCAGTGCTGGGAGGGATTGGACTGCTACCAGACCCCTCCCCTCTTTCCATCTCACCCTGCTCCCAACAAAGTTCTGTCTTAACTCTTACTCTTAAGCGTGTTTTGCAGGCTGGGGGCTACACGCAGGATAAGAGAGTGGAGAGAAAAAAAAGTCTCACCGTGAGAAGAAAGCTCCGACACAGCTTCTCGGGTCCGTGGTCAGACTTTTGGCCAGCTCCAGGATAAATTGCATCACAATGCACTGATGGCTCACATGCTTCATCAGGTCCGTTTTCTGGAAGAACCACCAGGACACAGAAATAAGTGACTAGGGCATGGAACAGGGAAAACTCTTGAACTCACTGGATCTTGAGAATTTTTTTCAGGTGAATAGAGAACTTAAGAAATACACGGGATATGGAAAACTCTACCTAATAGATATAGTTTCGCGACAGATACAGTTTCTCACATGTTTTGAAAACTTTTTAAATGTTAAATCAATTTTCTGTTGGTACAGAACACAAAACAAAACAAAACAAAAACTTCACAATTCTCAAGATTTCCACACATATATATCTGTAATCTTATCTCCACAATCCCATACCTAAACTATAGTACAAATATTGAAAATTCCCTTGCTTTTTCATGTACAGCACGAGACAATTAGATTCTACTGCAAAAGAAACTCACATGCCATTTAAATCTTCAGACTGTATACTTCAGTATCCTGTGCAATAAGAGCGCAATGTTTAACCCTTTCACCCTCAGAGCTATCCCTGCCCAACAAGGCTGAAATTCTGGCAAAAGGGACCGAACTCCGCTTAGACTGCATGACTATATTATTTTAAAAAATCATTAAAAATCAGAGGATGAGTCTAAAATTACAGTTTAGGTGTCAGAGCACAGATAAATGAATAAACTACAAGAAAATGTATGGTTTTGTACGAAAAATGATTGTGTATTAGGTTAAAAAAAATTCTGAAGAGAAAAAAAAACCCCAAAAGACACAACCCGCTTTTTTTGCCCGCAGAAGTTCCTGATGTTTTACCCAGAACAGCCTTTTGCAAGGCCTAACCTGGCCCAAATTGCATCCTTTCACTGTCTCACTCCCTCTGCCTAGCTTTGTAAAGTTTCTGGTCTTTACACAGTAGTGGCACGACCCCTTTTTACCATGTATCCTAATCACAACATGCTCTAAAGGATTTGTTGTGACAGAGCCCACAGTCCCAGTGTTGCTCCTCCCTTTTTTACGTCGTAGTGCAGCAAGTATGTAGTACTAGATCTAGCTAAAGTGCTGTGGGTGCTAGGCCTATCTTCTTCATCAGTCTTCTAAATCATCACCTCCAGCAACGATCTCACCACCAACATCACTATCATAGTTGTTCCCCTCCCCCTAGAGCCTAGATCTAGACCTGCGACATCGTGTTCGCTCTACTCCTACTATAGTTCTCGCTCTCTCTCTCTTTCACGACTGAGTGTCCGAGTGACTACTTGTACTACTAGCACTAGATCTAGCCCCTTGGTCGACGATATCGGCATTTAAATCCCAATTATAAGTGTCTCCATCGTATACAGTGCCTGTAGCGACGCAAAATTTCATCCACGAAGTTAGATTTAGGTCTCTAAAAAGCACGAAATTAAAAAAATCACCGCTCTCGCGTGCTTCGATCGATTTTCACCAAATAAACACGACAGTAAAGGGCAACCACTCTAGATTCTCGCTATAAGCTGGGCAATCTCGTGCGACCTCGCAGGAAGCGAGACAACGTAGAAACGAAAGTAGTGCAAACGGGTGAATCGAGTGGGCGTGTCGGCGCACATCGGCGACTGCGGGGGTTAGCGATGACGGCGCACATCGGCGCCTCCGAGTGGCAAAAGGTTAATCAAGTTCTATCCTGTTTTACTTCAAAGCGGTTTCGAGAAAAAGGTTTTTTTTGTCAGCGTAATTAAAAAATATAGTCATTCCGAATTCTAATTTATTCAAAAACTTGTCAGAGTTTCAATTCAAGTTTTTCACAAAAGTAGGATTACTGATCAGGATTTCGATTTAGCAAATAACAAATTTTGGCGCCAAAATGAAAAAAGACGTTTTGTCAGCTTACGGAAGTATTGATGTGTGCTTTTGAACCACACCTCCCCACCCTAGAAAACCACATTAGGCCTACTGATGGACTGAGATTCTAAAATTAGGTCAGGGCTGAGTCAGTCACACAAATACAAATTCCATAGCTCAAACTCAAACAAAAAATTATTAGCAGAATGAAATAAACGCACAGCAGCCGTACTGTAAAATATCAACAGAGGAATAAGTAAACTTTGACCACAAAGATTGCTCTCGTAACATTCATACTTGGTCATCTTCTGTCCCTGACTGCTAGATCTTGGTGGGAGCTAACAGAAAATTCTTCAATGTTTGCACAACACTGCCAGTTTACTGTAATATGTGACCCACAGTCAAATCTACTCTAATGGCCAACTTGTTCAAGACAATCACCTGAATGAACAACCACTTCCACTTCCAACCCTCCCGCGTTTTTTTTCTACATTATAATGACACTGTCCGAGCCATCCACACATCCACCTGTCTAAGACAACCACTTTCCCCCTCCACAATATGTGGTCGTCTTGAACAATTTCGACAGTATGGTCGGGCAAGGATAACTCAAACACAGCGGGGACGGACAAATGTGTTCGACACATCCCTAATTTGGGTGAACAAAAATTTTTAAGATATCTGTCAGGGAATAGCAAATTCTACGAGCTATCCATAATTTCAATTTTCCAGTGTTCGTGTCCTCTGTGCCAGACTGTACATTTGTGTACATATCACATGTTTTCGGCTGATGACGAGTCTGATCAGATTACCTCCTCCACCTCAAGGTCAATGCACCAGATGACCAGGTAGTTGGCCGTCTCCTCACACACCAGGTAGTTGTTGTCCATCAGGTATTGCTTGCTGTCATCCCATTTCTGCAGCATCCCATACTTACGGATCTGTGTTTTGTACTTTTTCGTGAACTCTTGCTGCAGAGGAAAGTAAGATAAAACCTTTTTTATTATAACTTCACCGCAACAGCACACAGTGCAAACTCCACCTGGAATTTTTTCACAAACTCTTTTATCTATAAATGAAGCATAGTAGGCCTACTCAGAAAGTATCCCTTCTGTATTTAAGGAGCAATTTTTAAGCTTGCATATCTTGGACTTTTAAGCTTGTATCCACTTTGTAGAAATGCAAAATCTTCATTTTTGAGTATAAAATTTTTACCTTTGCTCCAAAAAATTAAAATAGTCAAATTTCTTTTAGTTAGATTTGAAACGTGCAATTTCTCCTCATTCATAAGTGTTTAAAGAAGTAAATTAGTAATCACGGACGGGAGCCAGAATAAACAGAATCAAAGCAGATTTAAAAAAAAAAAAATATAGTAGAGGGTTTTGCGGCGCTCGCAACTGCATAAGATCATATGAGCGCCAAGGTGTGGATGTCAACAGAGAAGTCTTTACAGGGAATCAGACTTAGACTGCTCACCTCTCTAGCTTCAACAGCACAAGGTCTGCTTCGACTGTCAAGGCACCCCAAAATAGCAGGTCACAAGTGAGTGACAAACATACAAAAGAAGAAGAGGAAATGACAATAGTAAGGATCAGGAAAGAAAAGGCAGCAGTTCCCTGTTGTAGATCAGGCACAGTTATGAGCGTGACATGAGTCAGCCAATTCACAATTCTACAATGCTTGAATGAGATATGTCCCCCCTTTGGGAAAGGCCTAAAGACACTTCAGTGAGTGGCACTGCCCCGGAGGGTAGCAGATATTTAGGTACCTGAGGCAAACACCTTGCCCACAGGCTTATGAACCCACGTTCTGGTTTCTAGGAACACAGTTTTGTGCAATATATCATACACACTTTCAATCACTAGAAACTATCCAAAATATAGTGCTAATACTGTTCAATCAGAACAGATTTATTACATTCCTGACTTTAAAAAGCCTTAGCACAGAACTCATCCTCTCATTCCTTCAGTTTCCAGCACATGACTCAAAAAAAAGTACTGCAATAAACAGAATTTTCTCCACAAACTCATACTGAAGACATACAGAACAGAAAAATTCAAAAATCTAGATACAGTCCTCATGAGAGATCACTTCATGCTGTGCACAATGTTCATAAGAAAAACAAAGCCAAATCTTTTTTAAATATCCTTGAGCATCCTCTTAATGCCCTGATCAATTTAATTAAAACATGTTTTCTAATTGTGAAAAAGAATATGTGAGGCAGCGTGGTGAAATCAGGCGCTCGTCAAAATAATGAAATTGAAGAAACTGGCATTTTTCTGCCAGTTTGGCCATTTTTATTGAATTGTTTATTTTTGGCTTAACACCATTGTTGTCCAATTAAGAACGCATTTCTGGGTCGATTTTACTGAAAAACGATAAAGGGCACCCAAAAAAAAGTAAGCTTTCAGTTTCCACGGACTATCAAGCTATGGAAATAACCAAACTTTGGCGGCCATTTTCTCGCTGAAACCAAGTGACCCCACCTTCTTCAATCTCAAATATCTTGACTTCTATTCAAGATGGACGGGTATTTTTTTTCACAGATAGCAAGACAAGTGAACAATCTTTAAGATGATACTAAAAACTCCACATGACCAAAAATTGATGAGCGCCTGATTCCACTACGTCGTGACACATATGTGAAAGTGACACCAAAGCTTACCTGCTTCTCAATCTTCTCTTCTTCCGTCATCTCTTTCGGAGGGGGAGGAGCTTTGTTGATCAGCTGAAAATTTGCACCAAAAAAAAAAAAACACAACAAAAACGCATGATCAGCAACACAGGTCTCGGTTGTCGTGTACCTTGTGAGTATTGTATATATGAGAGAAAATCTCCTGACAAAAACTTTTCTCTCCATCCCTTTTCATCTTACTATTCTTACTCTTCTGCCTTCCCCATGCCAGAACTCAAGAGTAGTCCACCATGCGCCTTCATCTTCAACCCACAGTCCAAAAGATGATATATTTTTTAAATCAGAAAACAGCCCCCCTGTGTCCCTCATCTTTTAACAGACATGTCTCTGCAATTTTAGAAGTTCCTCTGCCCCAACTCTTTACAGCCCTATCTGAGAAGCCAGAGTACAATATCCTGCCATTCAAAACTTATCCATTGACAACACCTACATGGAACTGTGATCGAACTAGGTACTTTGGAATGAGAGGCAAGTACAGTAACCCTCAAATTACAAGACAGGGATTTGTTGTCTAAAAACATAATTCTTGATGTGAATTTCATGTCCACAGACAAAAGACAAGCTACAAAAAGCAACGCATATAGGTAAAGCTGCCAATCTACGCAATAGTACAGCCATACCAGACAAAGTTGAAGACACTACAGTATTAAATTGAAGTGAGAAAGATGAATAGGATAAGGAGTATGTTCATTCAAAGACAGACCTTTACAAAAATTTGAGAGAAACAGGAAAATGACCTACTTTGACAACTACACTCCAAATCAAATCTCAGACAAGGCACAGTTTGTAGTTTTAGTAAGAGTTTTACAACACTTGAATACAATAAGGTCATATAAGTGCCGAAGAATAGATTATGTGTTACAAGAGAGTAACATACACAAAAAAGGAGAGATAAGGACGACAGATGTTTGATAGGAAACAAGGAGTAAACCACACCAGAGCACCCGCCAACCACCCACCGATCATATTTAAAGCGAACCACTGATAAAGTTTTCGAAACTCAACAAAAGCTTAATACAGGTCTAAGGACTACTACATGAACAATACCCACGACAAGAATTGCCACACTTGTGTTGAAAAGCTACTCACAGTTTTCGATTTGCCGTCTTTGCAAATGGTGTCAATGTTCAATGGAGTCAGCTGAAAAAAAAAATGACAATAAAATGAAAGTCATTCAACTCAAATCATAAATGAAATTTTGTTCTTCCTTGGTCTATACATCTTGCTCACAAACAAGCAGACACTACTACAACTATCCCATTCCAGCTGATTATTACTAGGAGTCACATAGACCTGCATCATCTACCCCCCTCCCTGCAAACTTTAGTTTTAGTAAGGTTTTACGGCGCTCGCAACTGCATAAGGTCATATGAGCGCCAAGGAGTGGATGTCAACAGAGAAGTCCAAACGGGGAATCAGGCTTACTCCGCTCACCTCTCTAGCCTCAACAACACAAAGTCTGCTTGGACTATCAAGGCACCCCGGAAATAGTTCACAAGAAAGTGACAAACATAAAAAAGAAGTAGAGCAAAAATGACGAGAGTAAGGATGAGCAAAGAAAAAGCAGCAGTTCCACCTATGTTGTTCGGGAATAGTATGAGCATGACATTGATAAATCAGCCCATTTACAATTCTACTGTGCATAAGAACATGTTAAAATCTACCCATGGGCGAAAGTTCACAGACATCAAAAAACCTGAAGAGGTAGGGTGGGAATTTTCAAAAACCTGAAGAGGTAGGGTGGGAATTTTCAAAAACCTGAAGAGGTAGGGTGGGAATTTTCAAAAACCTGAAGAGGTAGGGTGGGAATTTTCAAAAACCTGAAAGCAGGGTGACTACCAACCCGGTGTCTCAATTTTCCAGGGAGGCTCATCCATTTTCCAGGGGCATGTTACATAACAGTGACAGCGCGTGCTCCATTTATATATACACACACACACACACGCACGCATGTAGATGCATTAGTGTGGCACTGGGGCCTTGTGTGACTTAGGTATTTCAGTCTGTTTTTACATTTTCCCCTCATCATATTCGCCTCTATATAGACTATATAAAAATGAATCCAGTTTTGAGCCTCAGAAAGGGCCTAGAACAAGAATATGGACTGTCAAGAACCAGTCTGGGTGTCATGACAAATATAGGTCTAATAAACGTGAAAGACAACAATTATTGCTCAGACTCAAAGTAGAGTAAAAACTTGAATAGCTCAAGCAGGCCTATTCAGTGTGAGATTTGTGAGAACTGTGGGAGGGCAACATGCAGTAACACTGAAAATCTGCGAATCTAGAACAGAAAGCTAAAATATATATAATAATATAGATATAAATACATGTAATTTAGTATCACCCATCCAATGAAACGCGAGCCCTTTAGTTCAATAACACGGCTTACAAAGTATGAGCATGATGGATCCCGATCCACACAAGGCCTGCACCAACGCATGCTTTGCAGAGAGCTCTAATAGTAATAAAAATTCTAAATACTATTTGCTTATAAGTTCAGTTTTTGTCCTCTGGTGTTGCCCTAATCCCCCCCCCACGAGTGTATTTTTTTAAAAAATCAATACCCCCCCCCCATTCCCGAGTCCTATACTTCGCAGCGCTCAGACTTTGAATGAACTTTGGTGATGCAGGTTCACTGACCGGTCACAATGGCGAGACATACTAGACGCTTGTATAACTACCTTTTCTTTTTTTTTTTTTTACAAGTGACAGCACATTGACAAATGCTGCTTTATCAAACTACTATCGGCAAATTTCTGGGAAGTAACGAAAACAAAAGTAGATCTTGATTTTTCCGATCGAGCTTCGGTATCACACATACACTTCCGCTTGCCGCCATACCCGCCTGTTCGGCATCGCTGACCGTTTATGAAGCCACAGCGCCAGAAGAGAGAGAGAGAGAGCCGCCTGTTTGCGTGAAACATACTCTCACACCGGAAAAAGTCGAATGAATATATCGCAATCAGCAAAAATGAACTTAACCCTATCCTTAGGTCATGTTCTATTATCGTATGCATACAAGCTGGGGAACTCTATGCCACCACTTTCCAAAGTGGAAATTTACTCGTTAATCCGACCCGTATGCTTTGCATTGCAGTCTGTCAAAATGATTTTATGAGAAATACTGGAAGTATCAAAAAGATCTTCATACTAGAAGTATTCTTAAATGTGAAGAATACAACCCCGGGGGTACAAAATGACCCAAGGGCGTACAGATAGGGTAAATGACGTTATCAGATTTGGTTTTCAAATATTCGAGAACTTCTTATTGTGCTCTTGAAAATAAGGCAGCTGTTCTTTTCTTCTTGAGTCCTGTCTGCCTCAGGGCAGGTCAAGGGGTTAATAGTACAGGCGGTTTATCCCTAAAAAGCGGATGGGGGCTTTTTCAGGACTACTGTCTTGCTTCAAGACCATCGTATTGTATGTTGCGTAGTCGCCTGTTTTTACACATGTAGGCCTACGGGCCGGCCCAAGTCTAAAAAACCGGCAGACCTAGGTCTGTTGAGGTTAAAAACCGGCGGGGCCTGCATATGCCAGCGGACTTTCACCCAGGAACCACCCTTTGGGAGTGGCCTAAAGACACCTCAATCAGTAGCAATGCCGAGGGAGGGTGGGGGGCTCTAAAGTGATTTCTGAACACACACACGATAAAACACACCAACTCAGACAGTCTCCTCTAAGATGAGCAGAATGATAATTTACAGAATGATAAAAAATTAGGAGATGCACAAAATGACTTCAAAAGATTGTGATTTTTGGGGGCTCCTTGTTATGTTTCAGAAAGTGTTTTACAGCACTTGCAAAAAATTAAGTCATGTAAGTGACGAAGATTAGAGGTGCAACAAGACAGTAACAAATACAAAAATAAGGAGGAGAGGTAAGACGATAGATATTTCATGAGAAAGAAGGAGCAAACCACACCAGAGCACCTGCCGGTCACCCTAAAAGATAATGAAAAGAACAGTGTACAAGCAGTACATTGAAGAAGACAGAGGAAAAAACACTTTTTTCAGGCTTCAAGAAAAGAGAAGGAGACAACAGCAAACACTGACATATCCAAGGTGTAGGCAGATGACAAGTTCTTTGTTAAAAAAATACTCCCCCCCAATAAAAAGTAAGCCTGATTACCATCCCCATTTCACTGATAAATGAATGAGATGAAATCAACACAGAAAAGAAGAACAAGAAGCACACCGCGCTATTGATCAACCACCCACATCACATCCCAAGGCATACGGCGATAAGGACAGTCCACAAAGCCACTACTGATATCACAGAAAGAAACATGAGAAAAGCATTCTGAAAGCAGTCAAGTAGCAAATATACTACTTTACCTTTTCCTCTTTCTTGAGATCGTCTTCCTTTTTCTTGTACTCTTCTTCTTGCTTTTCCAGCTCTGACAGTTCAATCTTCAACTTTTCAAATTCAGCCGAAGCACTCTGAAAACAAAAAAGCAAAACCTTATAACAGACAAGAACACGAATAGTATGAGCCTATTTTTTAAATTTTCAAATCAAAATTTCTATCAATCATCCATTAAGCAAGACCAAAAGCCCATTTTTTCATTCATTACAATTATCCTCAAAACCCTGAGGGTATTTTTATTCATACCTCCCTAGAATCTGGAATTAAAATGGAGATAATAGAACAAAAACAGGTTATTTCATTGTTTTATTTGCCGTGTCTTTGATTGTTGTCAGATTTTACTGAAATTTGAATATGTTATGTTTATGTGTATATGAATGCACAGTTTGGACAAAAGGGGGAAAAGTTATACACTTTTTTTTTGGGACCAATTCTATGAGTAAAGTCTTGTGTGTGATCCCTGACTCCACTTCAGTCAATGCATCATTAGGCCCAGCCGTTGATCTAGCCTCTGGCTGCTCTAGTGGTGATCCCCTGCCACTTCCACTATTGTCAAAATCATCATCGATGTTAGGCGAAACATTGGGATCGTTTTCAACAGTCATATCTCTATAGATCTATATCCGACTGGGAATCATCATCGAGGTCTGGTTAAGGATAAAAAAATGACTTTTATTTTTAACTTGCAAAATTTCCCAACTTTTGGAGTAGAACTGCTCTACTGACATTATCAATACTTTCTGCTGGTGACAGAGTGATCTGGAGTTACATCCCCTGTTTCTAGCACTGGCAACTAAACGATAAAGTTACCAAGCGGTTACCAGCAGTTACCAGCAGTATAGGAAAATACTGCGTTAGCGGTAACCAGCAGTATAGGGTTTTACCAGAAATGAGATTATATCGAGAGGGTTTACAATATATGCCAAAATATATGCACCTGAATCTTTTAATAGTAATAGTAGCAGCAGTAGCATTATAATTATTAATGAGTCAGGAATTCCTGGGACTCTAATTTTCATGTTCGTTTCTAAACTGTTTATGAAATTTCGCACACACTGCTTTTTGCTGATAACTGCTTGTAAAGCATAAACAAGGAAATACCTCTTCTGCTTCTTTCACTTTTCTTTTCATTGCTGCAACTTTCTGTTGGTGCCTGCCAAAAAACAACAACCAAAAGACAAAATCTGAGCACTGCAGGTAAGAAATGTAATCTGTAATTTTACTGTACTGCATACTACATGTAGGCCTACTCAAAAGAGCACATACACTAAACCACGAAGTAACCAAACTTTGGAGAGCAGCAACTTAATGGAATAAGTTACAATTACTGACAATTGTCTAATGATCAACATATCTAGGGCATTTCAAAATAGAAGAATGTGGCTTAAGATTATGATAAGGGCATGCTTCATCCTTTGTATGTAAGCGGCCAAGCTGGAAGATTGGTGATAGGAATCACTCATCACACACATATCCTAACACAAGTAGCCTACAACGTCTACAAGTTTATTGACCAGGCTGCAAAGATTAAAAAATTATTTAACATAATAAGCTAGCTTTTCATCACTCCAGTTCTCATTTTAGTGGCTTCCATCCCTCTGAAGTCCAAACAACACTTTTAGAACATCCATCCATAAAGTAATATATTGCAATAATCATTTTCGCAAAAGCCTTGGCGAGAGGAACTCATAACGTTTGATTAACACAATTTCAGTAGATGCAAGGCTGACAATACAAATAAAATCAACAAACTTCCGTTCATTGGGACATTACCCTTGCTTATCAGCTTCTAATTTGTCTTTCTTTTTCTTCTGCTCTTCCATCCTGTCCACTCTAGCTTGGTGCCGCCACCTGAAGAGACTTGGTGTGTCAATATTTGGATGGGTATCGTCCTCATCATCTGAGATCTGAAAAATCAAAGCAACAAGGACTAGACTAACTAATGCTTTTATACTGTCCACTGTCTCAGTGGTACAATATAAACAAATATTAAAATTCAGAGGAAAGTTAACAGATTATTGATTGAAACATTAAAACTAAACTATCAATAATAATAATACAAGATATCTATCTGTACTTATGTAATCATACAAAGTGGATTTGGCTGACAAAGGACTTTGGCAATTTAATGCAGCAAGGTGGGTGTCACTGACACAGAAAGTACTGTTTTATTGAGAAAAAAAAGCCTTGAGTTGGACTTTGAAGCTTTTCCAGGTAGCCTCCCGTGGCTATTCGGACTCAAATTCCAATGCGCGATCCGTGTATTTTCCTCATTTTATTTGTATCGTGTAAAGTACGCTGTTGGAAAATCTTTTCCTTTAGACCACTGTTACTTTGAATGACGGACTTTTGTTCCCCTTGGAAGGGTTTTAACTTTTCTCTTTTTAATTTCTGACTGGACTTCCAATTGATCAATGATTTTGTTTTTCTCTTCAAATAAAGCAAGTTTAGACTACCTATTGATAGAGTAAATATTCCTTTGTTTTTCTGAAACTTTGATTTTCAATTTTTTTTTCACTGCTTTGAGCTCAAATTGCCATTTCCTTGTTTGCTTTTGTTGAGTAGTATTTCAGATTTTGCACCTTTCATTCACTTTTGACGTCACTAATAATTTTCTTAATGTGTGTCGAAAATTTTAGCCAGATCGTAGAAACCGAGGAAGGCCAAGGTTGAATTGCCTGTCCGCTTCACATCTGGTACACCCGTTGATTGCGCATGCGAATTGGAGTTTTGAGTCCGAATAGCAACGGGAAGCTATTCAGACTCGAGTCCAAATAGACGTGGCCTTCCTGAAAACTCTGGACCTGATACTGATACGCAGAAAAAAAAGTAATTACCAGAGGCCAGAAATACACTGTGTCATGTGATACCAGAAATGATAATGTCCAGCATAAAATGGGTTTTAATGCATACCATGCACAGTAGACTATGATAATTTGGGAAGCAGTCAACTAGCAGACTCTTCACTCTAAGTCACGGAACGAGTTCCGCAGAGGGCCAGCCGACCAACAACATCTTAACCCTAACTGTTGTATAGTTTGCTCAGATGACCTTGTCACGGGAAGTGCCGGCCCTCTGCGAAACTCCTCCCCAAGTCACTATACCACCATGGCTATCACTGTGACTATCACCATGACCAAACTAGGGAGGATGTCTGGACGGAGACGGATAGCAGTGTGTGTGTGTATATGTATTACAACTAGTAGCAACGCAGAAACATCCGTCTTACAGTTACAATGTACTGCTACTGACTGCTAACACTACACAGTACAGCAACTTGGCTAAGGCAATGCCCCTGCTTCCCAGCCTGCCCCAAGTTAAGTAAGTCAAAGGGCCATTGTTAAGATTCCCGCGTTTAATTCCGACGGGCGTTTTTCAGGGTTAGGGTTAGATTTTAGATCTAGATCTAGGGATAAAAGCAAAACATGCCAGAGACTATAAAAAATGCACATCGGAATTAAACGCCGGAATCTTAACAATCACCAGTCAAAGGAGGTTGTACTGTCTGGCAGACACCACCGATACTGACGACACAGTTCTCTTTAAGAGCAGGGTTGCGAGCGCGAGAACTGGACTGAATCGCCACTCTTCCCTGCGGAACGCGATCCGCGATTCACTTCAGCGGAACGCAGCACAGTATCACCTTCCGATTCACTCGCCTGTCGCTGTCACTCATAGATATAACCACTACTCACTGTCACCACCTTGCAGCTTGTTTGTAACCTACTACTGGGTCGCGAGTCGAGTTGCGAGCTCAAGAACGGAACGGAACACTTACTAAGACTTAGTATGGCTCCCCTTATTTTACAAAAGATGATATAGAGTCCAACATCAACCCCCCTATTAGAACAAAATGAAAGGGTTTCAACCAATAGACAGTAGAAGGAATTTTATGGAGCCATTGTTTTAGCAAATTATGGTGGGGGG